TTTCATTTTGGATGATCTGTCCATTGGTGAAAGTGGGGTGTTAAAGTCCCCTACTATGATTGTGTCACTGTCGATTTCCCCTTTTATGGCTGTTAGTATTTGCTTTATGTATTGAGGTGCTCCTATGTTGGGTGCATAAATATTTACAATTGTTATATCTTCTTCTTAGATTGATCCCTTGATCATTATGTAGTGTCCTTCTTTGTCTCTTGTAATAGTCTTTGTTTTAAAATCTGTTTTTTCTGATATGAGAATTGCTACTCCAGTGTTCTTTTGATTTCCATTTGCATGGAATATCTTTTTCCATCCCCTCACTTTCAGTCTGTATGTGTCCCTAGGTCTGAAGTGGGTCTCTTATAGACAGCTGCCATACTGTTTTGATTACTGTAGCTTTGTAGTACAGTCTGAATTCAGGGAGCCAGGGTGCACAAATATTTGCAACTGTTATATTATCTCTTTGTTGACCCCTTTATCATTATGCAATGTGCACTCTTTTGTTACAGTCTTTGAGTCTATCTTGTCTGATATGAGTGTTGTTACCCCAGATTTCTTTTGTTTCCACTTGCATGGAATATCTTTTTCCAGTCCTTCACTTTTAGTCTGTGTGTTTTCATATTTGAGTGAATCTCTTGTAGGCTGTATATAGATGGGCCTTGCTTTTTCATTAGTTCAGCCACTCTGTGTCTTTTGATTGGAACATTTAGGCCTTTACATTTTAAGTGATTATTAATAGGTATTACTTATTGCCATTTTGTTAACTGTTTTGGGTTTGTTTTGCAGTCCTTCTGTGTTCTTTTCTTCTTCTTAGTCTCTTCTCTGTGGTTTGATGATTTTCTTTTGTGTTAATTTTGGGTCTTTTTCTCTTTTATTTTTATGTGTCTATTATAGGTTTTTGGTTTGTGGTTACCATGAAGTTCATGTATAACAACCTATGTATATAGCAGTCTGTTTTAAGTTAATGGTTACTTAAGTCCAAACCTTCTTAAAACACTGTATTTTTATCTCCCAACACACCTTTTTGACATCACATTTTACATCTTTTTATTTTGTGCATCTCTTAACTACTTATTATAGTTACAACGGTTGATTTTACTACTTTTATCTTTTAACCTTCATACTTGCTTTGTAAGTGGTTGATACACTCACTATGTTTACTATATGTTTATGAGATTTTTTTAATATATTTCCTTATTTCTAATTTTGGCCTTTTCTGCCTAAAGAAGTCCCTTTAACATTTTTTTGTATGGTTAGTTTACTGGTGATGAGTTTCTTTAGCTTCTGTTAGTCTGGGAAACTTTACTGCTACTTTAATTATGAATGATAACCTTACCAGGTGGAGTATTCTTGGTTTTTAAGGGGTTTTTTTTTTTGCTTTTTGGGGTTTTTTCTATCAGCACTTTGAATATATCATACCAGTTCCTTCTGGCCTATACATTTTCTGCTGTGAAAGCAGCTTATAGTCTTATGGAGATTTCCTTCTATGTAACTAGTTTTTTTCCTCTCTTGCTGCCTTTAAGATTCTCTCTTTAACTTTTATCATTTTTAATTACACTGTGTCTTGGTTTGGGTCTCTTTGGGCTCATCCTGTTTGGGACTCTGTTTCCTGGACTTGGATGTCTGTTTCCCTCACCTGGTTAGGAAAGTTTTCAGCCACTATTTCTTCAAATAAGTTTTCTGTCCCTTTCTCTGCCTCTTCTCCTTCTGGGACTCCTATAATGTGAATATTAGTGTGCTTGATTTGTCCCTAGGATCCCTTAAAGTATCTCTTTTTAAAATTCATTTTTCTTTTTTGCTGTTCCTTTTGAGTGATTTCCACCACCCTGTCTTCCAGATCACTGATCCATCCATTCTTCTGCTTCATCTAATCTGCTGTTGATACCATCTAGTGTATTTTTTTATTCCATTTATTGTATTCTTCAGCTCTGCTTGGTTCTTTTTTATATTTTGTAATTCATTATTGAAGTTCTCACTGTTTATTTTCTCATGAGTTCATTGGGCACATTTATGATCATTAGTTTGAACTCTTTATCAGATTACTTATTTCCATTTCGTTTCTTTTTCTGAGCTTTTGTCTTATTCTTTCTTTTCGAACACATTCCTGTGTCTCCTCACTTTGCCTCGCTCTCTGTATAGTTTCTGTGTGTTGGGTAGATGGGCTACATCTCTCCATCTTGAAGGAGTGGCTTATGTAGAAGGTTTCTCATGGGCCCCAGAAGAGCAATCCCTCCTTGTCACCAGAGTCAGATGCTCCAGGGGTGTCCCCCTCTGTGGGCTATGTGTCCTCCTGCTGCGGTGGCACCAAGGTTGCCCACTGGCTGGAAGGCCCACCCAGTCACAACTGCTCTGGGTCCACTGGTGGGCAAGTTGGTTCCAGGCCCAGCTGGTTGTAACTGCTGCAGGCACCCTGGCCCTTGGTGTGGCTGGCTGCAGGGCTCAGCCGCTCAGTTGCAGGTGTACTGGTGGGTAGGGCTGGCCTCTCAGGGCGGGAGCCTCTTTAGGGGATGCTGGACCCTGGCAAGTCTACCTGCCAGGTGTGGCAGGACGGGAGCCGCTTTGGAGGGGCAGTGGCCAGGATGGGCAGGTTGGATGCGGCTGGAGAACGCTGGGTCAGGACTGCGGTGCTCACAAGACAGATGGAGAATGTCAGAAGTGGCAGCTGCCAGTGCCGGGCCAGCTAGGTAGAGAGAGAAAAATAATTTTAAAAAGGGTGTCCACCAGCACTTCGGTCCCTGAAGAAAGTTCTAACAGATCTCTGCCCCTCAGGACCTGCCCTGAAGCTAGTCAGTGAATCTTCTCCTTCACATATGACCAGGTGCTTTTCCAACCGCTGCCTCTGCATCAAGACTCAGAGCTAGTGAGTCTGTGCAGAAGCCCTTCAAGAGCAGAGTCTCGGTTTTCCAGAGTCCCGTGGCTCTCCCAGATGTAAGCCACACTGGGTGTCAGTTAAATGTTAGGGGGCTCCCCTGCCTAGTGCAGGTCCCCCGGGCTGGGGTGCCCCCATATGGGGCCCTGACCCCTTGCTCCTGAGGGAGGGCCTCTAATATTTGTGATATTCCCTCCTGCTTACAGGTCACCGCATGGAGGGTGTGGGTCCTGACTCGATGGTCTCTGTCCCTCTGACCTGTTTCAGTGTGTGTTTCTTTATATCCTTCATCGTAGAGGAGCTGCTCTGCTGGTCTTCACGTCGTCCTCAGATGGGTCACTCTGTGTAGTTATAGTTTTGGTTTGTTCATGGGGTGAGGCGTGTCCGTGGGCTGAGGCATGTTCATGGCATGAGGCGTGTTCATGGCATGGCGAATGCAGGGTCTTCCTACTCTGCCATCTTGGTCCATAACAAAAACTGTAAAAGTTTTTTATTTTCTTGTGGAATGAACACTTAACATGATTCAAACATGCAAAAGTAAAGAGAAGCTTATATGAATTCCCAGGTACCTTGCATACATCTTCAACAATTATCAGCTTACGGCCAATCTTATTTCTGTGCCAGCCCTACCCATGATCCCTCCCCACCTCTGGATTAATTTGAAGTAAATACCCAATAGCATATCATTTAACCCTGCAGATATTTTGAGGTAAATCTGTAAAAGATAACTACTTAAAAAACATAATCACAGTGTAGTTCAAAAATGGGACAGATTGAACCTCAAGAAGAGTAGTAACCGTGATGGGGTGATGAGCCATATCAAATATATACAAATGATAATTTTTAAAGGCCCCTCCTGGCTCACCTTTATAGACTGTTAGATTAGCTCATTACTCTAAAAATTGTTAAATAAAAGGAAGGAATTATCCTATTTTTCTGGTACACATTGTATTTCAGGATAGCCACATAGTTAATAAGACAGTTCTTTATGGAATGCCAACAAATAAATATAAAGGAAATGCTTTTGAAAAGCATAATTTTGAAGTGCCTACTGAAATAATGGATTTAGCCAGCGGTTACTATAGGATGCTAAAACCATCAGGTGAAAGGCTGATAAAGTTTGTAGTGGATGCACTGCCCAACCACACCTGAAGCCATTAATCAGTCTTAGTGCCACCCAAAGTGAGACATCTGATCACCAGGTGCCTCCAGGTGTGATGCACTGAGAAACACATCAACACCTGTGGGAATTCTTGCCAAAAACAGAGGGAAAACCCAGAACCTGAAGCTAACCAAGCTCCAGATGTAATTGCCAGTTTATAGGAAACGAGGGTAAAATAACACGTTAAAGGACACAGGTGGCATGGAGCAGGGGAAGGTGGAAGGGATCCTCCTCTGAGACGAGGGACATGTCAGCCAAATCCAGTGCTACCCTGTTGAGATTCTGGTCCAGATAAACTCACTCAAATATTTCGGGGGCAGTAAGGGAATATGAGATATTAGAGAATAATTATTAATTCGTTATGTATGATCATGATATTTGGTTGTGTTAAAAAACTCTATCTGTTAAAGCTACATAGTGAAGTATTTACAGGTGAAATGATGCATTGTCTAGGATTTGTTACCTTGAGACCCAAGAGCAGCCTCACCTAAGAGCGTGTTAGAATCAGAACCTGTACCAAACTCCAAGAGATGTACATGCACTTTAATGATTGAGAAGCATTGCCTTAAAGTACTTGGTGTGAGGGAGAGTGTGGGTAAGGGATAAAAGCAACAAGATTGCAAGTATTGATTATTACTGAAACTGGGGGCTAAGTGCTTGGTGAAGTGATTGCCTGTAAGTCAGGGATTCCTAAATCGGGGACCGACAGACTGGGAGAGCGGGCAGAGTGTTTATATACTCAGCCCAGTGATTTGTTTTTTGTTGACTGGTTTGAGATGTGAGCGTTGAGGTAAATGTTGTCTGATATCCTCCCCTTCCTCCTGCCCAGCTAGTCAAGTTACTGGCTAGTATTCAAAACCCCTGAATGCATATTTCTTTAAAAAGTATTCCTTGTCAGATCAAATTGTCGGTTAAAATTTATGGAAGAGACATACCTTAACGACTTAACGCCAGTGTGTCGATCTCTCTCTGTAGCCGCGCCTAAGAAGGACTCTTCAGAGCCTGGATGGTGTTCTGTGCGCTGACAATGATGAGGACGCAGAAAGAGCTAGCAAGTAAGTCGCGGGGTCTCCTGTTCTGTTACGCGATGCGGCTCAGCGGCAGAAGCTTTAGGTTACAAGAGAGATGTCAAAGAACGTGCACTCCCAGAGATCAGGTTTTACTCCCTTGTGGAATATTCTTCAGCAGGAGGAACCAGCGCTAATTGGAGTCTCACGGGGGATGAATCTTGAGATGGGAAAGCAAGATAGACCTGAAATAACTTGTTCTTGGGAAGCAGTAACGTCTGCAGCAATACCTGGGATAGTGTTAAAGGGGAAACAGAAGCCCACTCACTAAGTTAGACTCCTACCCTCCTCCTGAAGAGGGCCAGGTAGATATCAGGAACGGTGAAAGTAGTCAATAGAAACAAACCAGATAGGCGAGGGGCGGGACCTAACTCCATGGTGGTATCAGAAGAGGAGAATTTAACGCAAAGTGTTAAAAATTAATTTTAACATAAAACAAGGGAAACAATAATAGTATATGTTCAACTTCTAAAACAATTTTAAGATATTTTGGGATGACAGAATCAACATTCTTTTTTCTGCATTAAGTATATCTTTGTTTATATAAGACAAGTGAATAAACAAATAAAAGGAAAACCATATAAAAATACTGAAAGTGAACTTGGAGTTAGCAAACTTCCCAGGTATTCTGGGAACCTGATATTTCTAAGGCTAATGTCCCAAATTCCCCAGGATTAGACTGTGAGAAGCCCCGCTTGTGCTTCCGGATTGATAAGGAGCCATAAACGTTTGTTTGCTCTCGGTGCACATACTCAAGATTTCCAGCATTTGAATCGGTGTGTACAATCACTACAAAGAATTTGGCCATGAACCAATTATCCACTTTGCTGTTCTACAGAAATATTACATTGGTTTTAAAACTCCCACCTTAGTTGACGATCTTTGGTAAGAGGTTGCTTGTAAGTAGCATTCGTGGTCACGTAATCACCAGTGCGTGTTTTCTTTTTCTTCAGGTTGTCCTCTGAAGACGGAGAAGAAGCGTCTGCTTATTTCTACGAAAGTGACGACTCTCTTGAAACCAGAGCACAGGCCCCTTCCTCGGGTGAGATGGACTTGCTGGGCGAGATCCTGGACACGCTGAGCACGCACAGCCAGGACCAGGGGAAGCTGGCGGCGGCCAGGAGCCTGGACTTCTTTAGGTCGATGGACGACATTGATTACAAGCCCACGGTGAGTCGATTTTCCAACTGGTAAAATTAAATGAACAGTTCCTCGCACTCACTGTGATGGCTTTTGTCATCACCTTAGTTGGTAGGAGCGTTTGACCTCAGATAAGTGTCAAAACTCCAAAAATACTGTAAGAGTTAATCATTAAGAATTATTTCTAGTAACAAAATTCCAGCATTTTCCCTTTTATTTATGCAATTCTGGTGGTTATGGTCATTAATTGAAATTATTTTGTCAAGCAGTAGTATTTTCCTACAACCTAATTTTATAGTTGTTTTTTCTGGGGAACTTTTAAACGTGAAATGTTCCCACTTTTTTTCTGTATTTTCTGGATGTTCAAAAAAGTTTTAATAAATGTATTAATTCAAGTAATGTTTCATTGTATTGCTTTAGAAATAATACTTTAAACAGATTGAACTGGCTGCTTTAAGAACACAAGAGAGAGAAGTATAAGTAATTTCCACTCTGTTCTGATGGTAATAAATTCCAGAACTTGGCACTGATTATATAATATAGTTTGTCTGCTTGTTTTTTGTGTTATTTTGAAGGATTGTTTTGCAAATCCTTTTTATTTTTCAGCTTTTTTGTAGTATAATGACAAATAAAAGTTGTGTACATCTAAGGTGTACAACTTGATGTTTTGAAATGCTGACCACAGATGAGCTAATTAACATATCCCTTATCTCACTTAGTTACCTTTTCTTTGCGGTGAGAGCACATGAGATCTACCTTCTTAGCAAAGAACTGTGGTCACCGAGCTGTACATTAGGTCCCAGCACTTTTCCCACCTGCACGACTGAAACCTGCCCCTCCAGCATCTCCCTATTTCCCCACCCTCCATCCCCCTCTGGTGACCCCCATTCTACTCTCGACATCTGAGTTTGACTATTTTAGGTTCCACATATAAGTGACATCATGCAGTATTTGTGTTTCTCTGTCTGGCTTATTTCACTTAACATAATGCCCTCCAAGTTCATCCATGTTGTCACGAATGGCAGGATTTCCTTGTTTTTAAAAGCTGAGTAACATTCCATGGTGTATACGTACCACGTTTTCTTTACCTGTTCGTCCATCAGTGACATCTAGGTTGTTTCCATAGCTTCACTATTGTCAATAATGCTGCCGTGAACACGTGGGTACAGCTGTATTGTCAAGATACTGATTTTATCTTCTTTGGATACATACCCGGAAGTAGGTGTATTATAGATTGCTGGATTGTATGGTAGTTCTGTTTTTAGTTTTTTGAGGATCCTCCACACTGATTTCCACAGTGGCTGCACCAGTTTACACTCCCACCCGCAGCGTGCGAGGGCTCCTTTTTCTCCACACCCTCGCCAACACTTAGGGTCTGGTTTGAGTTTTATAGGTGATTGAAAGGTGCAAGGGCCTGGGCACCCGTATCCATCTCACTTCATTCCTGTTGAGGGCGCCCTGGGAGGTGTTCAGAGCTGACTGTCCATGCTTCATTTCCTCTGGGAGGGACTTTGAGTTCCCAGCCTTGAAAGATACTGATTTCAAAATGGAAAACAGTACTGCTGAAGTAATGCTATAATTTTCTTCCATTTTTTCTAAATGCGCTGTTTCTTCTCTCAGAATAAATCCAACACGCCCAGTGAGAACAACCTGGCCCTGCTTTGCGGTGGTTCCGGTGACCAAGCTGAGTGGCACCTGGGGCAGGACGACAGTGCCCTCCACGGCAGGCAGCTCCCGCCCTCGCCCAGGAAGCGGGTGGCCTCCAGCGCGGGAACGGACTCCCTGTCCATCCTCAAAGAGGAGAACGGTGAGCGACGCCTCGGCGTTGGTGCCGCGAGCCGGCCCACAGAGCTGGGAGAGCCGGACCCCGCTCCAGGACTGGGTTTGCCGCTGGCTTCGCCCGGAGCTTCCCAAACAGAGAAGAAAGAAACACTAAGCCAGACTCCGGGTGATCCGCTGGTACCCAGCCTTGGGCGCCGTCCGTCTTTTGTTCCTTGGGAGAAAGAAGGGAAAGGAGCCAAAGAGACTTCAGAAGGTTCTGGACTGCTTCAGGAGGTGGTGTCGTTATGCCACGTAACATCTGCCTTCCAGCAAGACTTAAACATCTCAGAAGGAAAAGCAAGTGGAAACCAAGCTTAAATCAACAAATGAAGAGTCCGTCGCTTGCATCCAAGCTTCTACGGAGACATTTTAGGAGTCCCTGTGCCCTATCATAAACAAGGATTGGTAGAAAAGACAACTCTTCCTACCGTCTAAACATTGTTTTTCATTTGGGACATTTCTCCCACTCGTCTGTCTCGTGGTATATAGATTTATCCACTGATTTTTAAATGTAAAGCTAACTCTTCTACTGTGCTCTTAAATCAGGTACTAGCTTGTATGTATGTTGAAAGTATATATTGAACATATGATTTCCCAGGATTTGGTGCTTAACGCCACTTATTTTATTTAAACGAAGTATACATCTAACCCTTGCACATAACCAGTAGCTACTGTACCAACCTGGTTGAGCGTGAACTGGCCAAGATACCAAAACCTATCAGAACTAGCCTGAAACTGTTGACCAACTAATTGCCTTAATCTTAAGCCTATATTAAGCATACTTACATAATTTATGGAATTGCAGGTAAATTTTGAAAGATAAGTTATAAGTGTTCTGCAGAGCAATAATGCCTTTTTCTATTCATCAAATCAAGGACAAAATTCATTTTTTCAAAGTTAAAAAGCTCTCTTCTGGACACTGCAGCCATGTTTTCCAAAAGGTATAAAGGTTCGCATTTACCTTACATGTCACTCAGCGAAATATATGAAGTGCTGGATTACAATGTGAAATTAATGACTTCTGTTTACAAATGACACTTTAAGTTTTTTCACAGTCTTTCTGTATGACTTTGCTAAAGTAGGAGTCACCCCCAGGAAGCCAAATGTGACATAAACTGTCCTGATAAAAAAGTGTTCCTATCTGTTTTTCCCTTAACTAATAATTCTCTACCAGAATGCTTCATATCATCTCAGATGGACTTCTTAAAATAATTGACATTATATTTTGGAAGTTTCAAATTTATACAAACCATGTGGAGAAAGTACAGTGTCCCCATGTCTCCCTACTCAGTTTCTGCTGTTTTTCATGTCCTATGATGTCAGTGCAGTACGTCTTCACAATTCATGAACCATGCTCCATGCACATTTCCTTAGTTTTTCCCTCCCATCCTTCTTCTGTCCCAGAATCCCACCCAGGGACCACATCACACTTGGCTGCCACAGCTCCGTAGGCTCCTCTTGGCTGTGACCCGCTCTCAGACTTCCCTGGTTTTTGACGACCTTGACAGTTTTCAGGAGGACTGGGCAGATATAGATATGCTGTAGGATGCCCCTCTGCTGGAACTTGTCTGGTGTTTTTCTCATGATTGATTGATTGATTGTAACGGGACGGTTGGGTTTTGGGGAGGGGGTTACAGAAGAAAAGTGCCGTCTTCATCATTACATCTTATCAGGGGTCCATGCTGTGCACATGATTTGTGAATGTCGATGTTGGCCTTGGTCACCAGGCTGAGGTGGCGTTTGTGGGGTTCCTCCCCTGTAAAGCCGTTCCTTCCCCTGCCGCTCCTACTGCCGTCTTCAGGAGGAAGTCGCCGTGTGCCGCCCACACTGAGGCTTGGGGCTCGTGCTTCCTCTCTGTGAGGGCACGGAATCCACGTAAATTACTTGGAATTCTTCTACATGGGACATCGTCTCCTGTCTCTCAAATTCACTTTCACGCTTTGAAGTTCACCTGAGAAGGAATCGTGCATTGACTGCTTGATGATTGGCTAGATAGACAGGAATAATCAGGAAAAAAACCCAGTGATGCTATGGTTCATTTGTTGTTAGTATGTTCAATATATATACTCTATACGTCCCCACTCATGATTTTTGTTTACATTATCATTTTAGGAAAGGTGTTTGAGAACCCATTCAAGAACCCTCATCAAGACTGTGCTCTAAAATATTTACTGAAATCATAATTTAATTTTCAATTAAAATCCTGGAAGGGGGTTTGTTAAAAACATTGCGTAAAATACTCATTCAGGTCAGTCTTTAAATAATTTAAAGAAAATGACCAAGTTTTACTTTTCTAAAGTGCATTTCAAACTCTCAATGGATATATTTTGGGAGGACAATTATTCATTCATGTTTATGAAGGAAAACAAGGAAGACCTTGTTTTCCATATAAGGATAGATTCTGTATGTATTAAGGAAAACGGTGTTTAATCCTTTTTTAAATTTAATCCTTTTTTTTAAACACAAAAGATTCAAGGTTCCTGTCAAATTTTGCTTTTATATACTCGTTACAAAATTCCATTTTATTTAATTGAAAGATATAAAAAAGTCCATTTATCAGAAGAGCTATTTTAAATAAGAAGGAAAAACTGTCCCTCTGGTCGTTAATCTGCTGGGCAAATATTCTTCATAATTTTTGAAAAGAATGTAAAGCAGCCCTTTAATGTGACTATTGGAATGAGGTATTTTTCCTTCAGAATTCACTGTCTGGAGAATGGGATCACTGTGAGTGTAGCACAGGCACAATTTGGGTTTTGATCCATTTGCTTGATAAGTTTCAAGGCCTCAGACACGTGAGTTTTTTTCCTGTCTTTTGGTCCCCTCACCAGATGTCTGACTGCACTGCTGTGTGTGGTGAGGGTGTTCATCCACTGACAAGTCACATTTGTGTCAAGATATTTTAAACTGAATTTGTGCCTTATTTTAACATACAAAATCAGCTCTTATATTCCATGTTAGAAACAAAAGCAAAACCCCTGCATGTTATTCTTGGAAAAAATCCAAAAGACTAGGAGCAAGTATTCATATTTCAAACCGTTAACATTTTAAGTATTCAAAGTCTGCTCTGAAACTAGACTTCCCAGTATTATGGTGGCTGTAGAGAGAATGAAGTGACATTGAGGCGAGTTCTGAAATAAAAGTATTTTTCCTACTATCTTCACATTTTCTATTATAACTAAACCAAATATGTGTAAACTCTCCTGCTGTTTGAATTCTTTTTTTTTTTTTTTTTTACCCCCAAGGAGCAACACCTGTTCTACAACAGAATTGTATAAACAAATCAGACCTTTGGCTCTGAGGTCCAGTCTTTATGTGACCTCTAGACAAAGTCACAATTCTCCCCAAATCCCACTCTAGTTATTATCCTTTTGCCCTTGGGTATTGCATCCATGGTATTTCAGGGGGATAGAAGAGTCGTGTGTGAATTTAGGGGCTCTTGTTTTGTTAAGTGAGACTGTGTTAAGTGGTATATTTTGATGGCTACCTACTTTAGCATATTTTAGAAAGGCACCAAAATATAGCATGAGTACTTTTCTGATTAAAAATTAAAAACTCATTTAGGAACTATTTATCAGCTGTTTGTACTGGTCATACACAAGGTACAGTAACTGTGGACATAGGGAAATAAAAGAATTGGCCTAGTCCCTGCTGTGCAGGAACTAATTAAAAGGAAAAGGAATTGTAAATCCCTGTTAACAATAATAACGATAATGTATTTTGCTTAGAAGTTATTCAGCCAAGATTCTATCACCAAAAAAAGGCCTTTTAAAGCTGCTTAATATAAAACATGCTCTAAGTACAGAACCATTGTACCATTTCTAATTTGATTAACTTTCTCTACTGTTATACGAAGTACAGTAATGCTGCTACCTAGGATACCTACTTTTAAAGGCCAGATTCAGAGGCTCTTAGAAACTAAGTGTTCTTGTTTACCTGACTGTCCACCACCACTCTGCTCTCCTATCACCAGGCAGCGAGGCTCTGATGAAACCATGTCCCTTTGCACTACTTAGGGCCACGTCACTCGAATCAGGATTAACTGAGCATGCAGATGCATGTTGATGGGATCTCGTTTTACTGTCTTTACCTTGATGATAGCATTCTCTAGAAACAGCCTCCCCTCACACACACACATACACTTTTAAACTAAAACTGTCTGTGACAGTGCTGTTGTGAGGAGTTCGTGCTCATATACTAATAAACAGGACCCAGGAATGCTAATGAATTCATCGTTTCTGAAGTAAGGTGAAGTAGACTGCTGATAAAGAGGACAAAACTGTGACTATTCTCATAATTAGTAGATCTTCTTTTCTAGAAAATGTGAATTTTCAGGAAAAGATTATTTTCATGAATAAATTTTCTAATCTGAATTCCATTTTGTTTAGCATACAATATCCTGATTCTGGGTAGATATTTGTATATCAGAATATAAATTGCAGAATGTAAAATGAACACCCAAACCTAATTCCCCCAGACCACTTCTTAATATATGAAATGCTTTCTACAAACTGTCAGTATTGACGTCTTTCCTCTGTCGAGCCCAGGAATCTGTTAGTGTGTGTTTCTTAAATCTTGTTTAAGAGGCAGAGTTGTTTTGAGCAAATCAGTTAACCTTGTGATTTGGTCAAGGTAGGGAATTATGTGTATTTAGAAAGAAGCATGTTTTATTTTGAAAATAATAGGATTTTGTGCAATATTTTTTCTTGCATAATTTAGTTCATATAAATACATCTGCTTTTCTAGCAGATGCCTTAAGGTCATGTTTTTCAGTATTTGTGTAAAACTGTATGTAGCAACATTCCATGTGATTTTAGAGAAAACATATTCTTTATACCGTTGGCAGGAGAAATGTTTTTATTTAAAATAATTATGAATATTGCATTAATATATCATAACTAACTGCCTCAGCAACAATAAATATGCAACAAGAAAATTCTGAATCTTAGATTACTATTGACAATACTGTTACTTTAAGAGAAATGTGTATAGTGCAAAATGCTGATTCTTCATGTGTACATTTAACAAATAGTTCTGTACCACATAAATCTAGATGGCATTTCTATGGTGATGACAAAACATATGTCAACTGTAATATCCTTTGTGATGAATCTTTGGTAAGATTTATAAAGGGCATTGCCAATACTTTTTGACTGTGTAAATTAAGTTAATTTTTGTATAATGTACAGTTTGTTTAACCTTAGAGCTTCTATAGATTTCTACTTTTGTTATACTTGAATGAGGCAGAAGCACTGTGGAAAATCTGTAGCTCTGGAGGTGATATGCAAACATACCAAAAAAATAAAACAAGGTACTGAGCAGCGAACTTAACCAGATGCTTTCTATCCAGAAAGCTATGTTTTTTCAAACCATACTTAAGTGAAGGAATTTAAAATATACAATCTTTTATCTTAAAAGATTGCCAAGTCACAAATGATTACCTCTTTGATATGATAAATCTCTGAGTCTCTTCGTCTCTGTGTTACTTCATGTTTCGGAAGAGAGCCTTGTTGAGGTACATTGACAAATCTGCCCTTTGGTTGATTATGTGACTTTTAGGACAGCCCAGAATTAGACTCTGCATCCTAAATGCACCATGTGTGTTGAGTCACCATCCTTCACATAGTCTAGTTTCCATGTGGTTATCTGGAGAACCTTTAATAATCATATACCAAAAATGAGATTTCTTAAATCTGTCATGATTCAGTACTTAGAGCAATGCCTAAAACAACAAGTATGAACTGCCTAAAACCTACAGTTTAAAATGCATAAAGCTTTTTTACACAAAAGGTACATGAGAGGTTAAAAACTGAACTTTCCCAAAGCTTATTTCTCTTTCTTTAAATGAATAACTATTTGGAAGGACTGAAAAACTCGAGCTTTTTGCTAGCCATGGTGACTGGTATCCATACACACCTTCCCAGCATCAAGATGTGCGTCATTGTTCTTGCATCCTTGAGGCTACAGGATAAGAGTCATCTCTAAAGCTGACTACTATTGGGAGGACTTTGTAAAAGTATTGTTTGGGGAATTTTAAAAACTATATGCAAAAGTAAATATTGGATGAATGACACATTACCATAAAGTGCCCAACGATGCAGGTTTAAAATAAAGTTGGTCATAATCAGAACTGCCTGGTGGTGACTCTTTTTAATGATTGGCTATAGTGCTCCTGGGGAACTGTCGCAAGGACCCTGCATCTCCATCTCGGAGCCTTGTGACTGCTGCAGTGTAAACTGAGCCCTAAACCTTTCTGGCGGGTTTGCTGGGGAGGCATCTGGTCAGCTAATTTCACTGGGCTCTGAAACCACAGAAGACGTAATCAGTGTCGCTAAGGACAGCACAGCAGGTCTAGCCAAGCCAAACGACTGTTTACTGACCTTCACGAAAGAGTCGAGGACGGACGGGCGATGCTCCCAAGCCTGGGAAGATGGGCTTCTCATCCAGGGACTCTGAAGGTCCAACCTAGAGCAAAAGTCAAACTGGAAATAAGCACAAAATTTCCCTTGGGTGCAGAATTTCTGTGAATAATATGCTGAATTTTTCTTGTTTCCATAGCGGGAGCAAAGGTCTGACCCTGAGAAAGAGAGCATCCTTGGAAGCCTAAGATATAGCTGTGATTGATTTTGATTTTTAACACTTTGCCTGCCACTGTCATAGGGGTTAGTCTCAGTACCGCTTAGTGTCTGTGTCTGAGAAAGATGGTCATATCTTAATTTTATAGATGTAAATACAAAAACCCAGTTGGATTTTCCTTATATATAAATGAAAGAGAATACTCTTTTTGGAGTATTATTTTGTAGTGAGTCTGAGAATCTTCTTGCCGGGAAGTAGCAATGAATTATAGGACACACAAAAATGTATACATTTATGGAAAATATAGTATTAACAGCATAAAAATTAAATAGTGTACTGTGGAAGTTTCTAGGTGAATTAAAACCTTCCCCAAGTTCTGTCATTGGTATGGTCCTGTTACCTAATTTCCCTGAAGCTTTATTTCTCTCTATTTAAAATAGAAGTGTCTGTTCTTAGGATGAATTCGTAATATTGAGACACTTTGTGTAATTGCAGCTGCCATATACAGTCTGCCCTCGGTATCTCTGTGTCCACAACCACAAATCCAACCAGCCCAGATCGGAAATACTTTTCTTTAATAATTCCAGAAAGTTCCAAAAAGCAAAACCTAAATTTATCCCCCACTGGCAACTATTTACATAGCATTTACATTGTATTTTACAACTATTTACATAGCACTTAACACTGTATTAGGTATTACAAGACATCTAGAGATTAAAGTACATGGGAGGATATGCATGGGTTACATGGAAATACTATGTCATTTTATATGAGGGACTTGAGCATCCTTGGATTTTGGTATGTGGCAGGGTGGGGGGAAGGGGTTGTCCTGGAACCAATCTCCCACGGATACCAAAGGATGACTATAATCTGAAGGGTAGAAAATATGCCTAAGTACCCGATTTCATTGGAACTGATGGATGTTTGGAGTATAAAACCATAAAATATATAAAACTATAAAAATCTTAGCTTTTGTCCAATCCAGTGGCTCTCAAACTTAGCTTTTCATTAGAATCAGCTCTACAGTTGAAAAAAACAAACCTGGACCATGCTCCTAGGGTTTCTGGAGAAGATGCTGTAATTAGTCCTTTGCAGACATGAAGAAACTGATGAACAAAGGAGGTAAGTAAGCCCTTAGCGTCTCAGAGCAACAGGTGGCTTGGCTGGGACGGGAGCCTGATGGTGGCTTCAGCCCCATGCTGTGGGGCAGGAATGCGGGACAGAAATTAAATGGCATGCCTAACACACAGTCTCTCCTGTAAGTATTGGACAAGGCTTTCTGACAAAATGCACTAGGCAAGTTTTAAATTTTGAGTACAGAATTTCCTGATAGATTTTTGGGAGATGGTATTAATTAATTGCCTTCTCCCCCCACTCCCCAGCTCAGTTAATTCAGTCTCCACTAACCCTTGTTTTGTGTACACGTGTTCTCTGTGGTACCTTTCCCTCTTCTTTTCCCTTCCTTCCTCTTAGTTTTATTGGCATGTATGAGAGCGGATAGGGCAGCCTCACCTTGATTATGCATGATAACACAGGGAACACCTGGTGACATAGCAATGTGGAGGAAAAGGAAAGGCATAACATGAATTTTTTTTATTGTGGCGCCCCTGTTATTGACATATAAAGTTTTTGAAAGCACCTAAATGTCCTTCTCAAAATCTCCACAGATGTTTATCTACTACTTTAAATTTTTTTCTCATGGTCAAGAACCAGCATTCAAGATAAACTACTTACTCTTCACTTTTGTTATTTTAAAATCAAACCCACTTTAAAAATGGAGACCATTTCATACTCATGGTGTTTTGTAGTAACACCATTTAAACATTAAAGCAATGTATTTAAAATTTACAAATTACTTTTTACAGCTGTAGTTTCTAATTTGAGGACTCAATTTGGAATATCAAAATACACTGACGGTATTCATTTAGTATTTTATCTAGTTTCCCCCAAAATATAAACTTAAAAGTATAATTTAATGCATTTTAACAAATGTACGAAGTCATCTACCCACTACCATGCTAAGACTTAGAACATTCTATCACCCAAAGACTTGCTTTGTGCTCTTTTGCCATTATCTCCTCCTCTTGATCCTGGCTTCTGGCCATCAATAGATAGTTTTGCCTTTTCAAGAATTTCACACAAATGGAATCATACAATATTGCCTTTTATGGCTGGCTTCTTTCACTTAGCATAGAGCTACTGAGATGTCTCCATGGTGTTGCAGGTACCAATGGTTTGTTCACTCTTATTGCTGAGTATATTGCATTGTGTAGATAGGAAACAATGTATTCATCTGATCTCCTGTCCAAGCACATTTGATTGTTTCAATTTTAGGGTCTTTATGAATGACACTGCTCTGTACATGTGAATGAGTACAAGTTACTGTGATGACACTTGTTTTCATTTCCTTGAATTAATACCTAGGGGTGGAATTTCTGGGTCACACGATAAGTGTGTAACCATCAGCATGTGGGAGTTTCAGTTGCTCCAGTAATATGGAGCAATTCACGTAGCTTCACTGGAGAAGAGTATATTCAAATCTTTGACCCATACTTGTATTGAGTTGTTTCTCAATTACTGACTCAATTTGAGTAATTACTCAAATTACTGACTTGGGAAAAGTTTTAAAAATATATTCTGGATTTATTCCCATGCTGTGGGCAACTGAATGCTCTCAGGGCTCTTAGGTACCTGCTTCTCCTTAACTACACAAAAGGAATCTCTGCTTGTTCTCTCCAGTCTGTGGATAGTGCTGACTAGATGTTGATACAAAATCCTTCAACCAGCGCTCCTAGTTGATGTTCTCAGAGTAGTTTGAATTAGCACTCTTGAGACATGAAGGAGACAAGATGGCAGAGTAGAAGGACTTGAGCTCACCTCCTCTCATGAAAACACCAAAATCACAACTAACTGCTGAACAACCATTAACAAAAAAGACTGGAACCTACCAAAAAAGATACTTTACATCCAAAGACAAAGAAGAAACCACAATGAGAAGACAGGAGAGGCGCTTTCGCAATATAATCAAATCCCATACCTTCTGTGTGTGTGACCCATAAACTGGAAAATAATTATATTGCAGAGGTTCTCACACAGGAGTGAGAGTTCTGAACCCCATGTCAGGCTCCCCAGCCTGAGGGTCTGGCATTAGGAGGAGGAACCCCAGAGCATTTGGCTTTGAAGGCCAGCAGGGCTTGAGTTTAGGAGCTTCACAGGACTGGGGGAAAGAGAGCCTCCACTGTTGGAGGGTGCACACAAGATTTCACATGCACTGGGACCCAGCACAAACACTGACTCCATAGGAACCTGGGCTAGACCTACATGCAGGTCTTGGAGGGTCTCCTGGGGAAGTAAGTGGGGGGCAGCTGTGGCTCACAGTGGGGGCAGGGACACTAGTGATGGAGGCCCCAGGAAATACTGATCAGCATGAGCTCTCCTAGAGGGCGCCATTTTGGCACTGAGAACTGGCCCCACCCAACAGCTTGCAGGCTCCAGTGCTGGGATGCCTCAGGCCAAACAACGAATAGGGTGGGAACACAGTGCCACCATCAGCAGACAGGCTGCCTAAAGTTGTACTGAGCTCACAGCTACCTCTAAACACATCCCTTGACAAGGCCCTGCTCACCAGAGGGACCACACGCAGCTCTACCCACCAGTGGGCAATCACCAGTCCCTCTCACCAGGAAGCCTGCACAAGCCCCTGGACCAACTTCACCCTCCAGGGGGCAGACACCAGATGCAAGAGGAACTAGGATCCAGCAGTCTGTGGAAATGAGACCACAAACACAGAAAGATAAACAAAATGAGGTGGCAGAGAAATATGTTCCAGACGAAGGAACAAGATAAAACCCTAGAAGAACAACTAAATGAAGTGGAGATAGGCAATCTACCTGAAAAAGAATTCAGAGTAATGATAGTAAAGATGATCCAAGATCTCAGAAACAGAATCGAGGTACAGACTGAGAAAATACAAATAATCTTTAACAAAGACCTAGAAGATTTAAGAACAAGCAGATGAACAATACAATAACAGAAATGAAAAACTACACTAGAAGCAAACAATAGTAGAAAAAATGAGGCAGAAGAATGAATAAGTGAGCTGGAAGAAAACATGGTGAAAATCACTGCCATGGAAGAGAATAAAGAAAAAAGACTGAAAAGAAATGAGGACAGTCTCAAGACCTCTGGGACAACATTAAATGCACCAACATTTGCATTATAGGGGTCCCAGAAGGAGAAGAGAAAGGAACTGAGAAAATATCTGAAGAGATAATAGACAAAAACTTCCCTAATGTGGGAAAGGAAACACTTAGGTCCAGGAAGCTCAGAGAGTCCCATCCAGGATAAACCCAAGGAGGGACACACTGAGACACATATTAATCAACTTGACAAAAATTAAAGACAAAGAGAAAATACTAAAAGCAAAAAGGGAAAAGCAACAAATAACATGCAAGGGAATTCCCATATGGCTATCAGAGGATTTTTCAGCAGAAACTCTGCAGGCCAGGAGGGAGTGGCATTATATATTTAAAGTGATGAAAGGGAAAAACC